AAGTTTGGTCAGCCCCTCGTTTATGGGCCACTCTGTATATTTAAGAATATTTATTAAACATGGTCATACAACTTTTACATTAATTTGTTTTTCCTATTTCCAATAGTAAAACAGCTATCGATGAATTACGCACTATTGGGACATGTTGGTATCGTTGGATATGTAAATTTATAAGGAATTTTATTCGAAAATAATATACAGTCAATACAGTGTGTTGCATTTGACCAATTTGAGTAAATTGAACTTAAAGTTAGCCATATTTAAGACATGTTTCAAAACACTCTGTATAAAATAAATCAGTTCTATCACCTCGAAAATGGAATAGTCTAGAAAGATCAACCAGAAGTCGCTTTTTTGTGACAAATGGCGTGAGAAATATTTATTAATCTTAAGTTTTATGAAATGTAGGGTGTTCAAAAAGTTTTGAATAAAATTGTTTCTTTAGCCCTTCATTCTACGCCAATGGGTTATGGTAATTTATCGAAATAGAGTGTTAACTAATAATAACTATTACCTATCATATACACACATTTTCAAGTTAAGGTCCTTACTGTAAGGGAAGATATTTAGAAGATAAGTATTTATTAAATTCACTTTTTCACCCGGTAGAATGAAAACTGGGACGTTTATAGGAAAATTATATTTAGATTTTCTTTATAATTGATTACGATCTACAAATCCCCAAAATTACGGTACTTTATTCTGAAACACCCTGTATAAATATATAAAAAATTAAAAACATTATTAATGCCCTTCCGTATGAGATAAAAAAAACTGCAAATAACGTTAGAGGGTTTAGAAAAATGTTACTAAACCATATCCAACAAAGTATGCCATGAACACACCTCTTATCAATATTCTTTCTTTAAAATTTTTATATTTCTGACTGTATATATTTTTATTTTATCTTATTCTTTTATATAATTTTGTATTTCTTATTTATATTATCATTTAATATTATATAATGTATTCAAGAGCTGTTCGACAGCATTTATAAATTGTATGTATATTAGGATTAGATACCTATTTAATAAATTTATTTCTTTTTTTTTTAAACACGTTTTAAATGTTATCTCTGTTGATGTCCTAATTGCTTACATAAATATCTTCTTAGAAAATTCTTCATAAATATTGATATTAAGTTTCTTCTGTGATTTAATTTGTATTTAATATATCACGTAAGTGTTCATTTAATTAATAAATATCAAAATTACTACGAACACTTTAAACCACCCAAAAAAATCTGAGTCCAGAGTCAGTTTAGTAATACCGTTGGTGCCACATTATTTTGAATATTTGTATGGTAAATATGTCATCTCCTTTACTTACTAACTCGATGACAATTACTTACCGTGCTAATGAAACACCTTGTATATTCATTTTTGAAATGAGTTTGAAATATTTACAAGCGAAAATATGCCTAATAACTTCCTTTTTCTATCAATTGTCAATGTCAACTGTCATGATCGTATACGTTTTGTTGTTCTCAATGGTTTCAGCTTCAGTGTACACCGTTGTTGCAGCAGATCCATATTTTTCATTCAAATTTAAAAAGTTTTACTTCCGTTAGTCCAAATACCTAACATTTTACAAATTACAAACCTAAATAAGTCATGTCATAGGTTATATTGAAACAAGATGTACTGCATGTGCATAATTTCTATGTAAAAAATAATTAACAATGAATGAAGTTTTCCTGCTTATTTTTTGCACTATGCACCACTGCCACCACAGACCATACCCTTTAAAGATGGGCCACTCAACAGTGAAAAATTTTACTCATCTTTCAGCGCCATCCGTAGCGGTTGCAAATAGTTGAGTTAAAAAAAAGAAGATAACTAATAATTGAAAATTTGTTCAAGATTTATTATATAGATGGCGGTAGGGGTCAATGAGCGCGGGTTTTTCAAACTCGGCCTTTCTAATAAACCACTACTAAGTTTTCAAAATTATAATTTTTCATTCTTTTTTACTTAAAATGATTCAAACATTTTATTCTTCACTCAACATACTTAGATGGATATAATCCATTGGGTTATGTTCTGTGATAGATAAAATTTGAAATATTTTAAGTTAAAAAGAAAACGAAAAATTATAATTTTGGATTTGTGGAACAAAAAATACATCTTATTATGAAGTAAAACACGATTATAACCATATATTTTTTATTATTAGAATTAAAATTGCACGAATTCTTATTACAGTACACAATAATAAAGAAATATGAATATAAAACTATTACTAAGTTCACCCATGGTTGTATCCACTAGAAGTTGTAACGAAAGTTTCTGGGGAAAGTTGGCTCTGGCTGCTGTTGGGTGTTTTCATGTAAAAAATGAAGAAGAGTATCAGTTAAAAAATATAAAGTTCAATTTTATTATTTTTGTTTTGAGTCAATTCAGCTGAGCTATTAATTTATTAGCTAGTGAGAATGAATCGGCATTTCTTAAAAATATATCATAGAAGATTTTTCAATAAAATGAAGGAATTTGAATTTAGTAAGAATGCAACTTTTATTAATTGGAATCAATAAATTGTGAAGATACCTAGGTGAGGTAGGTCACAGTATATGGAGCAAAAAATAATAAGAGTCGCACAATATAAAATATACAATTATTGGTATGTTTGAAAAGTACCTCATTTTGAATTCCGAAAAAAAATTGTATATAGGTATCTAATATAAAGTATCCATTACATATTGTATAATTCTAAAAAAATACTAATAACACTATTTATTTCAATCTTCTTAATATTCATATATTTTATCTAGTTACTGAAATTGTATAGAAAATGATAAAAGTTAGGTTAAGATTTTTAATTTTTCCTAGAAAACATTAGGTTACCCGCATTATTTTGGAAATTTATTTCACAAATTGGGTACTTTTAAGCAATAATATATGCTCTTAAAATTTGGCAAAGTATTTAAGAATAAAATACAAAAAGAAGTTTTTACTTTTAAAGAAATAAAATTGTAAATGTATTCCTTACCTGCGACTAACTTTATCCTGACAATCTGAATCAGCACAAGGACGAATTCGCATCATAATTATATATGTTTAAAGCTTTAAAAAATCTCTTCGAAAAACTAACCTAATAAAACAAATCAACCATTACCATTATTGTCATTAATAGCGTTTTTTTTTCTTTGAAAGTTTTAAATAACAACTTGCGTTACTCTGAACCTGCTCCGAATACACTCTGAATCTGCTCGACGAATGCAACGAGCAAACTTTGTGTAAAGTAGCGCCATCTATGGGTGGTGCACAGTACTACAACACGAGTAAGCATTTCCCTATTAAAGATCCCCTAGCCTGTTCTAAATTGCGACAAGTTTATCAATAAATCTCAAACAACGTAAGCTGCAAGCTGCGCCCTAGAAACGCACGGTACCGATTTTATTACAGGCAGTGGCAGTCAGGCTAGGGGATCTTTAATAGGGAAATGCTTACTCGTGTTGTAGTACTGTGCACCACCCATAGATGGCGCTACTTTACACAAAGTTTGCTCGTTGCATTCGTCGAGCAGATTCAGAGTGTATTCGGAGCAGGTTCAGAGTAACGCAAGTTGTTATTTAAAACTTTCAAAGAAAAAAAAACGCTATTAATGACAATAATGGTAATGGTTGATTTGTTTTATTAGGTTAGTTTTTCGAAGAGATTTTTTAAAGCTTTAAACATATATAATTATGATGCGAATTCGTCCTTGTGCTGATTCAGATTGTCAGGATAAAGTTAGTCGCAGGTAAGGAATACATTTACAATTTTATTTCTTTAAAAGTAAAAACTTCTTTTTGTATTTTATTCTTAAATACTTTGCCAAATTTTAAGAGCATATATTATTGCTTAAAAGTACCCAATTTGTGAAATAAATTTCCAAAATAATGCGGGTAACCTAATGTTTTCTAGGAAAAATTAAAAATCTTAACCTAACTTTTATCATTTTCTATACAATTTCAGTAACTAGATAAAATATATGAATATTAAGAAGATTGAAATAAATAGTGTTATTAGTATTTTTTTAGAATTATACAATATGTAATGGATACTTTATATTAGATACCTATATACAATTTTTTTTCGGAATTCAAAATGAGGTACTTTTCAAACATACCAATAATTGTATATTTTATATTGTGCGACTCTTATTATTTTTTGCTCCATATACTGTGACCTACCTCACCTAGGTATCTTCACAATTTATTGATTCCAATTAATAAAAGTTGCATTCTTACTAAATTCAAATTCCTTCATTTTATTGAAAAATCTTCTATGATATATTTTTAAGAAATGCCGATTCATTCTCACTAGCTAATAAATTAATAGCTCAGCTGAATTGACTCAAAACAAAAATAATAAAATTGAACTTTATATTTTTTAACTGATACTCTTCTTCATTTTTTACATGAAAACACCCAACAGCAGCCAGAGCCAACTTTCCCCAGAAACTTTCGTTACAACTTCTAGTGGATACAACCATGGGTGAACTTAGTAATAGTTTTATATTCATATTTCTTTATTATTGTGTACTGTAATAAGAATTCGTGCAATTTTAATTCTAATAATAAAAAATATATGGTTATAATCGTGTTTTACTTCATAATAAGATGTATTTTTTGTTCCACAAATCCAAAATTATAATTTTTCGTTTTCTTTTTAACTTAAAATATTTCAAATTTTATCTATCACAGAACATAACCCAATGGATTATATCCATTTAAGTATGTTGAGTGAAGAATAAAATGTTTGAATCATTTTAAGTAAAAAAGAATGAAAAATTATAATTTTGAAAACTTAGTAGTGGTTTATTAGAAAGGCCGAGTTTGAAAAACCCGCGCTCATTGACCCCTACCGCCATCTATATAATAAATCTTGAACAAATTTTCAATTATTAGTTATCTTCTTTTTTTTAACTCAACTATTTGCAACCGCTACGGATGGCGCTGAAAGATGAGTAAAATTTTTCACTGTTGAGTGGCCCATCTTTAAAGGGTATGGTCTGTGATTTAGAAGTAGTGGGGAATGTATTGAATCGTCATGTCAAGGTGTAAACACTGTAAACTGGTGTAAACATTGCGGCTAATAATTGTTAGGTAGAAAATGTATCAGTCAGCTGATTCAATGATTCGGTTGTCTAGTTAAAATCACAAATGAACGGTTTTAGCACAGGTGAAGAAGATTCTAGGGGCCCAACAGACCAAATTTGTTGTTTGATTGATAACAGCGAACGTTGTTCTAAGCCAGCTGGAAACGCATCATATAGTAAACGAATACAAAAAATTGTGATCCAGAGAAGGTTGAATTTGTGTATAGACAATAACGTAAGTACCCCAATTTTTAAGTGTGTGTGATTTCCATAGTTATTTTGAAATGCTACTTGGTACACAACAGTTGTTAATAATGAGATTTTAATTTAGAAAATGTGATGTGTTTACGGCCACCTACTTAAAATATAATAAATTATGTACCTTTGTTGTGTAAAGATATGGATAGTTGCAACAAAACTATTATTGTTACAACTTAATATTATTTGTTAAATAATAAGTAATAAATAGAAATGTTATTTTGCTTAAAATAGTTGTTAATTTTAGGCCAGGCACAATTATATTTGTGACTCCCACAAAATGATCATACAGTGTGCACGTTCAAAAAGAAGAAGAAAAGATTCTGAGGACGATTCTAATGAAACAGACACAGATGTTCCCGAAGTGGATCTCTACCAATTACAAGTTAACACATTGAGAAGATACAAAAGACATTATAAAGTGCCAATGCGGCAAGGACTTAACAAGGCCCAACTTGCTGATGTAAGTAATTTCATCTCTGATAAAGAATTGTTTATTTGAGAATTTCATATTTAATTCTAAAATTCATACATTTTGGCATGTGACAAAATAGTTAAAAAAGACCATTTGTATAGGGCCGTATCTATTCATCGGGGCTCTGTCAGATAGAAAAATATACTATTCATCAGGACGTACTTGTACATGCCCATTCTTCGTCCTAAATAATAGAATTCTGTAAACAAGTAACCTTAAAACAATACCTATCATTTACCATCATTTTGATTCCTTTTCAAATTGATTTTAGATAACCAAAATGAAAAACTTTTGGTAAATCGTGGAGGAAGTGATTTCATTCATTAAAAATTTGAAATCAAAAATTTTAGGCAGGTTACGTGTTCTCACAAGAACTCTGAACAAAATCGGTTAAGAAAAGTACAAAAAAAGAATTGAAACAATAAGATTTTTTCTACAATATTACGTATACACTGCCATAAAGTTTGATTCATATGGGTTTTTTGTAATATTACAATTAAAGAAAAGTCATACAACATGCATTTTCTAGAAAATTGCAAAATTATCTAGAAAATTCCATACTTTTAAGATTTGTAAAAAATAACCACACTGTCGAAAATTATTAACAAAAATTGGTATAGAATTGTTGATTTTGACTAAATTTATATGGGACCCCCCTTTTCTAACAAAAAAAGAATCATTGAAATCGGACATCGTGTTAAAGAATAATCGCTGAACATACATAAAAAAAAAAAAAAAAAAGAAAATATATATATATATATATATATTTACGGTAACCATCCAAACCTGAACCAGAAGTAGTAACTTGGGTTAACAAACTTGAACCACCATCACAAACCTGAACCAGTATATTGGTTCAAGTTTGTTTTGCTGTGTTAAATTATTTAATACCCACTCTATGCTTAAAGTGAAACTTGATTGTAATAGTTCCATAATAAAGGAATCTGTAAATTACGTTTTCAAATCTTCGCGCCCAACACATTGCCGGATATTCCCCCTTTTTTACTGGTTCAGGAATATACGAAACTCCAATATGTAGTTCAACAATTTGACGTTTGCGGCGCTTAGGTAGGTATTTGCGGTATATAATTATATATACGTATTGAAAGTAATTCCGTATCATCTTGAGCCAGTGAATGTGGCAACATTGCGTATTTACAAACATTTTATGTGCTTTCCGTTTTGTAGGAATCATTCAAAACAGAAGTAAGTCGAAAGAAACAAGTATAGTATATTACATTACGTGTGTGGAAAGTGACATTTTTCACACGAGTGGAAAATATTGTCGCACGAGGCACAAGCCGAGTGCGACTATCACACCACTGTGGAAAATTACTTTTCACACAAGTGATGTACAATATTTTTCCTACGACCACAAAATAATTTCATCAAAAAATGTAGAACCAGGTTATTATTATAATAATTAAAATTAATTTAAAAAAATAATCAACAATAAATGTATTTATGCAATTTTCATATTTTTCGAAACAAAAATTAAAAAACAAAAAAAAATTCTGCAACCACCAAGTTTTGAACGCGGGCCCGCGGACCCGTCGTGTAAGCCAAAGTTCAAATTACACCTACCCTAAAACCTGAGCTAATAGGTCTTATGTCAAATGCATTTTTAATTCGATTTTAAGTTTAAACAGAATAAAAAGCCAAAATAATGAGATGTATGTAGTTATTTTAAAATTATTTTAATAATTGTTAAAAATAAATATCTAGGATCTAAGTTAATCGTCAATTTTAATAATTTAATCATAATATAGTTTTTAGTATTAATATGGACATTACATAGATCAAAATAGAAATGATGTGTTTGACATTTTGTGACATCTGCTGCGGAAAGTAGCATATTCGTACACGGGTGGAAAGTAAATTCTTATTTATACGCGTGTGATATGGGGCACTTTCCATAGGACTATATAGTGTGATATGTGTCACTTTCCTAAGTGGTCGAAGGAAAAAATATTTTCATTTAGTTATTTTTATAAAAAGGTCGAAATGGTCTGAAACCTAAAATGCAACTATGATATATTAAATTTTTACAGTAGTATACGAGATATGTCAAATAGGTAATTTTGCTGAAGAGTAAAATATCTTTATTTTTGACAAACCTCGTATACGACTGATAAAATTTGATATCTGATGGTAGTATTTTAGGTTTGAGACCATCCTCGTCTTACTATATGCAGAAAGCTTTTTTATTACTAATTTTATGAAAAAAGTTATTTTTCATAAAAAGTCGAGCATGGTCTAAACGGTAAAATGCAACCATCAAATATCAAATTTTATCAGTCGTATACGTGATTTATCAAAAATAAAGGTACTTTATTTTACAGCTAAATTCATATTATTTGATATATCTCGTATACTATTGTAAAAATATATCTGATAGTTGCAGAACTTTTTTTTTTTTATATTTAGACAACTAATCATGCAGGCTGTTCAAAAATAAGGTTTAAAATAAGATTGAGAAAACTACAAAAAAAATTTTTTATAGAAATTCACATTTTTCTCATTTTATAGTATTTAGTATCGAAAATAAAGTATGGAAAATAAGGTTTTCTACAAGATGGTCCGTTAACAATGGGACACAGAACAACTTTAAATTCCTTGCCTAAAAATCTTGCGATATAAAAATTTACCTTTGTTCAATTCTGGATATTGAAGATATTATAAGGTGTTAAAGTAGATACTTAATAAATTGAAGTGTCAAATATTTCAATCAAAAATACTGATATAAATGTATCTATTTTAACACTATGTATATTCTTTAATATCAAAAATTGAACTAAGGTAAATTGTGTTATATCGCAATACTTTTATAAAGTAGCTCTGAATCTTATTATTAACGGACCACCCTGTAGACGACTTAATACAAGGTTACCTTAATTTTAGATGCTAAATACTACAAAATAAGAAAAACGGGTTGTTCCATTTGAAAAATGTGTGTGTGTGTGTGTGTGTGTGTGTGTGTGTGTGTGTGTGTGTGTGTGTGTGTGTGTGTGTGTGTGTGTGTGTGTGTGTGTGTGTGTGTGTGTGTGTGTGTGTGTGTGTGTGTGTGTGTGTGTGTGTGTGTGTGTGTGTGTGTGTGTGTGTGTGTGTGTGTGTGTGTGTGTGTGTGTGTGTGTGTGTGTGTGTGTGTGTGTGTGTGTGTGTGTGTGTGTGTGTGTGTGTGTGTGTGTGTGTGTGTGTGTGTGTGTGTGTGTGTGTGTGTGTGTGTGTGTGTGTGTGTGTGTGTGTGTGTGTGTGTGTGTGTGTGTGTGTGTGTGTGTGTGTGTGTGTGTGTGTGTGTGTGTGTGTGTGTGTGTGTGTGTGTGTGTGTGTGTGTGTGTGTGTGTGTGTGTGTGTGTGTGTGTGTGTGTGTGTGTGTGTGTGTGTGTGTGTGTGTGTGTGTGTGTGTGTGTGTGTGTGTGTGTGTGTGTGTGTGTGTGTGTGTGTGTGTGTGTGTGTGTGTGTGTGTGTGTGTGTGTGTGTGTGTGTGTGTGTGTGTGTGTGTGTGTGTGTGTGTGTGTGTGTGTGTGTGTGTGTGTGTGTGTGTGTGTGTGTGTGTGTGTGTGTGTGTGTGTGTGTGTGTGTGTGTGTGTGTGTGTGTGTGTGTGTGTGTGTGTGTGTGTGTGTGTGTGTGTGTGTGTGTGTGTGTGTGTGTGTGTGTGTGTGTGTGTGTGTGTGTGTGTGTGTGTGTGTGTGTGTGTGTGTGTGTGTGTGTGTGTGTGTGTGTGTGTGTGTGTGTGTGTGTGTGTGTGTGTGTGTGTGTGTGTGTGTGTGTGTGTGTGTGTGTGTGTGTGTGTGTGTGTGTGTGTGTGTGTGTGTGTGTGTTGTGTGTGTGTTGTGTGTGTGTTGTGTGTGTGTTGTGTGTGTGTGTGTGTGTGTGAGTGTGTGTGTGTGTGTGTGTGTGTGTGTGTGTGTGTGTGTCTGTAGGTCGCATAACTCATGAACCGATACACAGAAAAACACCAAATTTTAAACTTAAGCTTTGTTTCAGCGTCCAATGAGCTGATTAGATTTTGGGCAGAGTCAGAACATCTGGGGGGGTACTTTATGGGTGGTCATTTTTATATTTTATGGAATATATCTGTTATTTACGTTTGGAGAAGAAAATTCTTCAAATAAAAGTTACTTCTTATATAATTATCTATAATTTTTGTTTTATGCAAAATTTTCCTAAAATGGTCCGTATTCGAGAAATTTGACAAAATGTAAAAAAAATAATTTTTTATAAAAATTGTTCAAATAAAAGTTGTTTGTAATATAATTCTCTATAATTTTTATCCTATAAATAATTTCTCTAAAATGGACCGTATTCGAGATATTTGAGAAAATGTGTAAATTTCGAATTTTGAAGAAAACTCAAAAACGGATGAAGGAAAAAACATTAAATTTTAAACATAAGTTTTATTTCGACCTGAGGTGAACTGATTAGATTTTGGACAGAGTCGGAACATTTGGGGGGGTACTTTATGGGTGGTCATTTTTATATTTTATGGAATATATTCGTTATTTACGTTTGGGGAAGAAAATTCTTTAAATAAAAGTTACTTACAATATTATTATCTATAATTTTTGTTCTATGTCAAATTTTCCTGAAATGGTCCGTATTCGAGAAATTTGACAAAATGTGCAAAATTCTGATTTTTAAGAAAATTGTTAATCTAAAAGTTGTTTGCGATATCGATCTCTATAATTTTTGTTTTAAAATGACTTTTCTAAAATGGACCGTAATGGAAAGTAATGGAAAAATTGGAGGAAAAGTGCTAAATTAAATTTTTTCAGTATTTTCGTTTTCAATGAATATCTATAGAAAAATGTTTCGAGGTAGATGTATGTGGAAAATGTATATATTTAGTTAATCCTCTAAACATTTTTAGAGATGCTGCAATAGGTTAACTAGATAGGAAAGTCATGTGTTGGACACATCAAATTTTTTTAATTGCAAAGGTAAGGAAAAATCGTAGATTGTATTTTATTTAAAAAGTTTTTTTTAT